GGAAGTGAGAAATCACCATCCCCGCCCAGGATGGGATGGCCATGCTGCAGTTTTTTCTCCTTCATTGTCCACCTTGGTTTTTGGACACACTCTTATACTTGCCTGGCATGATTTTCAATCTTCTAGGTCCAGGACTAGACTCAACGTGGGAGTCTAGTGCCATAACCATCATACCATGTACTGGCCCCTCAATCTACCTTTTTTTTCCTTCGAGAATTATTTATTTAATTCCACTTATCATTATTATTTTAAAATTTGACCAGACAAAGACAGAGAGAGAGAACGGGAAAGCGAGAAAGCAAGCTGCCAGGTCCGGGACTCGAACCACGGTTGGTCATGCGATAATCCAGTGACTTTAACCACTACACCACCTGCTGGCCCCCAATCTACCTTTTAAATAAATGTTTTCTTCAGAATTATTCCATAGTAATCTTTCTTTTTCTTTTTCTTCTCCTTTTCTTTTTTTTCTTTTTTTTTTTAGTTTTTTTTTTTTTTTTTTTGCCACAGGGCATTTGTGTTCACCAGAGACAGAGAGAAGAAAAGTGAGAAGTCACCCCACTGGGAGGATGGTCACGCTGCGATGCCTTCTCCATTTTTCTCTGAATTTTAGGCACTCACACGTGCACTTGGGTGTGACTTTCAAGATGCTGGGTACAGGACTTGAACTGTGTTTAGCCATGTGGGAGTCCAGTACCTTATCTATCTGCTGACCCGTCCATTGTATTCTTAAATTTTTGTTTTAGAATTATTTATTTAATTTTATTTATTTTTATTATTATTTCATTTGACCAGAGACAGAGAGGGAGAGAAAGGGAAAGTGAGAAAGCAAGCCATTAGATCCGGTATTCAAATTGTGGCTGGCCATGTCGGAGTCCAGCACCCAACCACCACGCCACCTGCTGGCCCCTCTAATATATAAATTTCAGAAATTACATATCCATGGATTGTTCTAATATTATTTTATTAATTGTTAAGACAATAGCTACAACAACAATTGTGCTAAGGACTGAGAAAGCAGGAACAAGATTATAATAGCCTTTGGAAATTTTTTAGTTCATGAGCTAAAGATTTAAGCTTTTTTTTTTAAATAGATTTTTTCCTATAGGACGTGTGTGCTTGCCAGAAAGACAGAGAGACAGAAAGCGAGAAATCACCCGCTGGGGGATGGCCATACTGCTATCCCTTCTCCTCCATTCTCCTCTCAGGATCTTGGGCACACATGTACACGGTGTGAGTTTATATTAATTTTCATGGAGGTAGCAATGACAAATTTCTGGTGTGTACTACTGAAGTCCAGAGGTCCAGTCACAAGTAGCAAGCCACTGCTCAGCTGCTTCAGGAAAACCACTCTCTTGCCTCTGTGGCGTCCAGTGAGGATGATCAGAATGGTCCCAGGAGTGAGGCTGGCTCCCAGCTTTCTCACACGCTGACTGAAGGGTTTTTTGCTGTGGCTCAACGGCTTTCGAGGCACATCTTCAGTAGGGTAATACATAAACATTGTGAGATGTTAAACCTCTTGGGGCCCACCATTCTTGTCCCCACCATTGGTTTTGTGACAGTGGCAAGAACCTTTTCATTCTTTTTCTTTTCAGTCCTGAATTGAGTGGTTGAGTATTTCCTCTTGTACATGGCCTTCCTGGAATACATGGCAGACCAGGAATATCTGCCAATGCCCCGTACTGGGATGGGGTTTCAGAGGCAATGGGATTTCTCCTCTTGGGCCTTGGGGTAACCCTTTAAAAAAAAAAAAGAATTATTTATTTATTTATTTAATTTTATTTATTTATTTAAATTTGACCAGAGAGGGACAGAGTGAGAGAGAGTGAGAGAGTTGGAAAGTGAGAAAGCAAACCGCCAGATCCAGCACTTGAACTGTGGTTGGCCATGTGGGAGTCCAGTGCTCATACCCACCACGCCATCTGACGGCCCCGGAAGGTCACTCTTTTTAACCTGACCACTGGCATCAGCTTTCTCGGCTTCAGGCTTCTTCTCCTATTATCCCGATTCTTAGCTTTTTTACCTGCCATCTTGTATAGTGGGAAAGAGGAGATTTAAGCTTTTTATTTTTGTGATTCATTATTCAATAATTTTATTTGTTAAATATTTAGAAAGATTAAGATATTTTCTAAGTCCTATTTGAGTTTGAAGAAGTTGATACATAACATATCGTCTATTTTCTGAACAAAATACTGAGAAATTGTGTGGGTTAGCTTCGCTCAATGGGAAATGGTTTTCTGTGTGCTGCATAAATTAGGTGAGCTGTTGTGAGTTTCTTATGTTTGAACGTTCACATGACCACACTTGATCTGCCATGACCAACAAACTTTGCTTTATAGATAACGTGCTCTCATCATACGGATGCAGCAACAAACCAATTAAAACAGTTGGAGAATGAGGCAGAAGCATGATAGGATGTTATTGGAGGTGCGAGGGGGTAGAAAGCAGTGATATTACACAGACTTTTCTTACATTAGGCCCTGGCTAACTCAGTGAAATTTTGTCAACCTCACAAATCTAAATTAATATGAAATCTTAATTTGGTTAAATTATCCTGGGCTTCTAATCAGTTACTCTATTTTCTTTCAATGGAAAATTTCATATTGACTTTTATCTTTATCGTGAGAGAATGTATGATTGAAACTTTAAAAAAATATTTCATTTAACTTTATTTATTTTAATTTGACCAGAGAGGGACAGGAGGAGAGAGAGAGAGAGAGAGAACATGACCACACTTGATCTGCCATGACCAACAAACTTTGCTTTATAGATAACGTGCTCTCATCATACGGATGCAGCAACAAACCAATTAAAACAGTTGGAGAATGAGGCAGAAGCATGATAGGATGTTATTGGAGGTGCGAGGGGGTAGAAAGCAGTGATATTACACAGACTTTTCTTACATTAGGCCCTGGCTAACTCAGTGAAATTTTGTCAACCTCACAAATCTAAATTAATATGAAATCTTAATTTGGTTAAATTATCCTGGGCTTCTAATCAGTTACTCTATTTTCTTTCAATGGAAAATTTCATATTGACTTTTATCTTTATCGTGAGAGAATGTATGATTGAAACTTTAAAAAAATATTTCATTTAACTTTATTTATTTTAATTTGACCAGAGAGGGACAGGAGGAGAGAGAGAGAGAGAGAGAGAGAAGGGGAAAGTGAGAAAGCAAGTCACCAGGTTCAGGACTTGAACCATAGTTGGCCATGTGGGAGTCTAGCACCCTTAACCACCATGCCACCTGCCAGCCCCCATATTATTGAAATATTTGAAAAAACTTTATTGCATTCTTTCTTCTGGGTTGTTTGATTTAGTGTGGTTTGTGAAAGAATCTGTGTAAGAGATTTATTCCTTTGGCAGGCAAGATAGAGTAAGAATGTTACCGCCTCTTTGTACACCAGTAGTGACCTTGGTAAGTCCCCAAACCAGGTGTCTTAAGGTGCCAATGGCAGGGCATCTATAGCTTCCCTTCCAGCTCTAGCCCCTATGGTGTATATCCAACTGGAACAAAATTGAAGGACAATCCTCATTCCAGAGAACTAGAGTCCGTAGTACGAGGTCTTGGCCAATGAGAGCCTAGAGACTGAAAAGTCCATGAGACGTTTTGGGCATGCAAATTCTATGGATGTCTAAGTGTGCCATTTTTTGCTATCTTCTGGGTAAATTTCATCTTGGTTTCTACTCCTGCAAGCATACTAGGAAACTGGTATTTACCAGGGCCAGCAGGTGGTGCGCTGGGTAATGCGTTGTACTCCCACATGGCAAACCATTGTTTGAGTCCTGGGCCTGGTGTTAGGGTCCCTGACCTGGCGGTGTGAAAATCATGCTGGGCGCATGTGTGTGCATGCCCAAAATCCTGAGAAAAGAATGGAGGAGAAGGAATTGTGATGTGACCATCCTCCTTGGGGTGTGATTTCTCACTTTCCCTCTTACTCTCTCTGTCTCTCCAGTAAGTGCAGGAGTCCTATTGCGAAAAGCTAAAAAAACCCCCAAAACCCAAGAAAAACAAAAAAGGATGGTATTTATCTTAAATTGTGTTTCATCTTGTGTTGATTTGATGTGGCCACGTAAAAGAAAAAAGGGAGATCAGCAGATGGCATAATGGTTACGTCATTGGACTCCCATGTAGTTGACTACAGTTTGAGTCCTGGACCTGGTGGCTTAAAAGTCATACCAGGCATGTGTGTGTGTGAGTCCCCAAAATTTCAGGAGGAGAATGGAGGAGGAGGGATTGTGGCATGGCCAAATCCCTGTGGGGTAATTTCTGTCTCTCTGTCTCTTTCTGACTTTCTAGCAAGTACATGAGCCCTATAGCAAAAATCTCTCCTAAAAAAGAAAAGAAATCTCTCTCTAAAAAGAAAAAAAAAAAAACAAGGGGGAGGGGACCAGCAGTTGGTGTAATGGCTGTGTCTCTGAACTCCCATGTAGTCGACCGCAGTTTGAGTCCCAGACCCGCTGGCTTAAACTCATGCTGGGCACATGCGTGTGTGTGCCCAAGATCCCAAGAGGAGAATGGAGGAGAAGGGATTGCGGTGTGGCCATCCCCCCTGGGGGGTCTTACCTTACTTTCTGTCTCTCTGTCATTTTCTGTCTTTCTGGCGAGCACATGCATCCTATAGCAAAACAAAACAAAACAAAACAAAACAAAACAAAACAAACAAACAAACAAACAAAAAAAAACCCTATCAAAAAAAGAAGGAAAACAACCTCATTGCAACCCAAAATTAAGGATAAATTCTAAATGTGAAAATGTGAAGTCACCGGTGAGACATCTATTTTATTTTTTAAAGAATTATCTTATTTAATTTTATTTATTTATTTTAATTTGACCGGAGAGGGACAGAGAGAGAGAGAGAGAGAGAGAGAGAGAGAAGGAGAGGGAGAGAGAGAAGGGGAGAAAGCAAGCTGCCAGGTCTGGAACTAGAACCGTGGTTGGCCATGTAGAAGTCCAGCGCCCTTCACCACCATCCCACTAACTGGTCCCAAGATAAACCCTTTCAAATTTCGCTCTTAGCCTTTGAGCCTCTTATTATTCTCTTCAGGGCCAGTTTCACCTCTTGGTTCCTGAGAGTATAGATGAGGGGGTTCAGGAAAGGAGTGATGGCTGTAGGGAACAGGGCAGCGGCCCCATCCAGCGGGCTGTTGGTTTCGGGCCTCAGGTAGATGAAAGCACAGGGGACATAGTACACGGTGACCACCATTACATGGGCTCCACAGGTTGAAAAGGCCCGGCGCTGCCCATCAGCTGTACGGATTCTTAGAATGGCCCGAATGATCTGTATGTAGGAGAGGAGGATCAGGGAAAAGCAACTGGCCACCACCACCCCGATGTCCACAAAGGTCACCAATTCGTTGACTGTCGTATCAGCACAAGCCAGCCTCAAAACTGCGGGGATGTCACAGAAGAAATAATCTACTTGGTTGGGCCCGCAGAAGGGCAAGCGGAAGGTTAAGGTGGCCTGGAGTGCTCCGTGGATGGATCCTGCCACCCAAGCTCCAGCCACAAGTAAAGTACTCAGCTTAGCAGTCATGAGCACAGGGTAGTGCAGGGGCCGACAAATGGCCAGGTACCGGTCATAGGCCATGAGGGTGTAGAGGAAGCACTGGGTGCTGCCCAGAAAGTGATAGAAATACAGCTGAGCAACACAGCCACCGAAAGGGATGGGTTTGATGCCCAACGTGAAGTTCATCATGAGACGAGGAACGATGGTGGAGGAAATCCCCATATCGATGATGGAGAGAGCACCAAGAAAGATGTACATGGGGCGGGCATGGAGCTGTGGGTCTGCCCAGACAGTGATAAGAATAAGTAGGTTCCCCAACTGAGTCAGCATGTAGATCAGCAAAAAGAACCCAAAAAGGAATGTTCTCAGCCTGAGTGGGTAGGGAATTCCTGTCAGGATGAACTCAGTCAACAGTGTGCTGTTGATGCTTTCCATTCACTGGAGAGATCTTACCTAGAGATCAGACACATGAATAGTTACCATAGAGGTGAGAGAGAAATGAGGGGAATTAGAAAAGAGACTATAGGTGCCAGCAAGTGACATGGTAGTTAGGGCTCTGGACTCTCACATGGCTGGTCATGGTTTTAGACCTGGACCTGGAGGCTTTCTTTCTTACTTTCTCTCTCTCCAGTGAGTACATGTGCCCTATAGCAAATTAAAAAAAAACCCCAAAATTCAAGGACCAGCAGTTAGCGTAATGGCTATGTCACTGGACTCCCATGTAGTCGACCACGGTTTGCGTCCTGGATGCGGTGGCTTAAACTCACTCCAGGCGTGTGTGCGTGAGTGCCCAAGATCCCAAGAGGAGAATGGAGGAGAAGAGATTGCGGCGTGGCCATCCCCTCTGGGGGGTGATTTCTCGCTGTCTGTCTCTCTGTCTCTCTCTGTCTGTCTGGCAAGCACACGCGCCCTATAGCAAAAACCTCTCCAAAAAAAAAAATTCTTTTTTAAGAAGTTATTTATTAATTTTATTTATTCATTCATTTATTTTAATTTGCTGAGAGAGAGCGTGAGAGAGAGAGAGAGAGCAAGATCGGA